AGAGTAGTAAACCAATTGCTTTGATGAACTCAATGTGAGGAAACTCTGTACAAAAGTCTGTACCAGAGTCAACTCAAAGTGATCAAATCCTATGAATTAGACCAAAACTTTGCAACTGCCACAAGAAAGTATAGTCTCAACACTCCAACATATTGGTGCAGGTATCCACTTAAATAAGTTTCCTAAAGCTCAAGAAATAAAAACAAGAATCAATATGGGAGTCATGTAGGGAAGAGTTAAAACTATCAGAATAGATGGAGAGACTGCGCAGAAAAAAAAAAACACAATGAACTAATGAAATAAAGTAGGACAGGATCAAATTTAAAGGCTTCTGCACAGCAAAGGAAAAAAGAGCATGAAGAGAAAGCTTACAGAATGGGAGAAAAATCTTTGCCAGTTATTCTTCTAACAGAGGATTAATACACAGAATACATAATGAATTCAAAATAATATCAAAAAACCTCAACTCAGTCAACAAGTAAGCAAAAAGATTAAACAGATATTTCTCAAAAGAATAAATACAAATTACCAATAAATATGGGAAAAATGTTCATCATCCTTAACAATTAGAGAAATGCAAATCAAAATGACATTGGGATTTCATCTCACTCCAGTTAGAAGGATAATCATCCAGAATACAAATAATAATACATGCAGGTGAGGATGTGGAAAAAATGTATACTCATAGATTTTTGGTGAAACTGATAATTATTACAACCACTTTGAAAAGCTGAATGGAGATTCTTCTAAACACTAGGAATAGGACCACCATATGACCTGGCTATTGCATTCCTTGGTGTTTATCCAAAAGATCTAAAATTAGAATAATATGGTGATATAGGCACAGAAAAGATCAATAGGAGTGCAATTCATAATAGCCAAGTTATGGAACCAACCCAGGTGCCTATCAACAGATAAATGGATAAAGAAAATGCAGTATATAAACATAATGGGGTATTGCTCAGTCATAGAGAAGAATGAAATTATGGCATTTGCTGGTAAATGGACGGAACTAGAAAATGTCATGCTAAGTGAAATGAGCCAGACTAAGAAAATCCATGGTCAAATGTTTTCTCTCATATGCAAAAACTAGATTTAAAAAAATGTAAAAAAAAAGGGATAAAAATAGAAGAGAGATCAGTGGAGCAGAGGAAGAAAATTGAGGGGGGGGGAAGAAAGAGGGATTGGAAAAGGGAGGAACTGCAGAGTGAATTGATCAAATTTTTCTATATACTTCTATGACTATACCACAGTGATTGCCACCTTTATGTATATCTATAATGCATCAGATAAAAATAACAAATAAATGTAAGGAAGACCATTAGAGTAAAGGAAGGTGAAGAGGGGGAGAGAGAAAGGGAGGCAAAGAGGAAGCAGCAGGGACTGAAATGGAGCAAACTACATTCCCCGGCGTGTATGATTGTATCAAAATGAGCCCCACTATTATGTATAACTATAATGCACTAATAAAAAACATTAACCAAAAGAATACTTGTTACTCTGGAAAGATGATTAGAAAGGGGGATAAAATAGAATGAGCAGTGGGAAGAATAGTCTTTACAGAAAGTCTCTTAGAAAAGAGACAACAAATAAAACATGCACACGTATTATACTGAGGGGAAAAATGAAAAAAAAAACCCAGCCCTTCCTTGATCTTTAGATTATGGTGTTAATAATTCTGAAAGAGCTGCTTTGTCATATATTCATGGTCACTTTGTTAAAGTGAGCTTCCACTTATGCCTTAAGATTAAAGCTTCCCAAATTCTGCAAAGTTCACAGTGCTGTCCTCAATACCCATTTCTTGCTCACCTCTAGTGCTAACTTCACTGTCCTGTTATATGTTTACATGTTTTTCTCCTACTAGACTCTGAGTTTTTTAAAAAACTTAGAGCATATCTATGTAACTCTAGAACCTATTATATTTTTTGGCACAAACTAATGACTGAATTTATTAAATGAATTAATTCCCATTTAATAATCTCAAAAGCGTCTCAAACTGATCTGATAAAAATTTAAACTCTTGGTTTTATGAAAGGATGTATCTCTTTTTCCAATCTTTAAGACATTAAGCTTGACATCTTTTTAAATGCCTTATCAATTCTAAACCAAAGTATATGTCTCATATACTTCCGAAGCACTCTTGTGTTCAGGAGACTGAGACCTCAGTAGTGACAGCCATCCAATTTGTCTACCCGCTCTTACCTTCCATCTGTACCCAATTTTTTCTCCTTCATAGCAATCAGAATGCTATTTTTAAAAGTATACCTTGAGTAGTAATGTTTTTGTATCCACTGAGACCTTATAATGGGTTTTCATTACAGTTAAAACATGTAAATCCTGAGCATGTTTTTAGGCTGTACAAGATTTTGCCTATGTTATTCTTCTTTATCTCTTCTGATACCATTCTCCAAACACCTTTTCCATATATAGACCTGTATGTGTGCTATTTTCTTGGTACAAAATGCCCTTCTCCCCATCACATGTTAGTTATTTCTATTATCATATTGGTATCAGCTAATTTTCACTTCTCCAGATAAACCTTTTCTGACCACAATGTATTATTCTCTAATATTTTCATTTTTAACTCCTGTTCTTTTACTTCATACTTCTCAACACAATTTGTCAGTCTGTGCACATGTGTGCCTGTTTTCCCCAACATGCTAAAATATATAAGGACACTACTTGGGGACCAAGAGATGTAGGAACCATGAATGGTTTTCAATTCAATTTCTCCATTACCCATTACTATAATGAAAATAGTAATAATAAGACACATACCTATTAAATTAATAAAATAACAGGCTATGCTCAATTTCATTTTCAGCAGCACAGTCTCATATAGGACATAAATATACATCTATATATAGTCTGATTCTTTACTCATGGGTAGTATATTTATGGACTCAACCAAATGCATGTCAATCAAGGTATTTGAAAAAAACCTGCATGTGTACTAAACAAGTGCAGACTTTTTTTACTTGTCATTATTTCCTAAAAAAATTCTTTTTTAACAGCTATTTACATAGCCTTTTACATTTTTTGTCTTACAAATTATCTAGAAATGACTTTAAGTATACAGATGATATGCCTATATTATATGCAAATAGTACACCATTTTATGTATTGGACTTGAGCATCAGGAGATTTTTGTATGTGTGGGAGGTCCTGAAATCAATCCCCCACAGACTCCAAGGGACAACTGTATTTGCCCACAAGTTTCTTCCCTATGAAAGATAGTTGAACATGCAAAAAAGTTTTAAAATTTAGCAATAATTCAGGTTGAAATTAGAAAAAAATATAAAATCAATGTAAAGGAAATGTCACCAATATTGTTCCTTGTTTTACTTCCAAGAAAACCAATCATAATACCTTTTTTCCCCCAGCATTTAAATTTTGTATACATATATTTATACATGTAAATGTTCATGCATGCATAAACACATACCCAGTAGTTAATCTGTTTCATAAAATTTCCTAAAGGCTTTAAATTCAACATTGAGTTAAGCTCTGGGTATACCAAGATGAATAACATCAGAAAACTTCCCTGTCAGCAAAAATAGGACTCAAGTGTTATCACAAAGTACTTGGATGTTTTCTTAAATCAAATTTTAGTGGGAAGGAGGAAGGAAAAGAATAAGTACTAGGGGCTGAAGGGGAGCAAATTATGTTCCATACAGATGTGATTTTACCTAAATGAACCCCACTATTTTGTGTAATGATAATGTACTAATGAAAAAGTATTCAGTATGAATACCAATTGCTAAAAAACTGTAATGTAAGCAAGTTTCAAAAGGTCCAGGATCACAGGACTTGTATACCCAGGATTTTGAAGTAAGCTAATAAAACTAGCATGAATAATCACTCATCCTGTAAGGGATGGAGTCTAACACTGATGACCTTATGATCTTCCAGCATTAAAATCCATCTCAATACTGAAGGTTAAGCTGGCCACTAGATGGCCTGACATATCATATGGTGAGCCTTCTGCCTAGAGTGCTCCTTTGTACCCCATGGGTGCCCTTCTCATTCTCTCCTGTACAGAAGTCTATGCCCTCATTATATTGTAATAAATTTTACTTTTTACCATTCCACATTAAAACTGTGAGTTTCTTAAAGGTAAAGACAGTATTTTAATTTCTATATCTTTATTTCATTAGTAGGCAAAAAGGACACTGAGTATATTGATGAAAAGTTGGAAGCAAGATTGGGAGGAGACACATCAGCTTTGGTATTGTGAAAACTTGAAGTGGCTTTGAAATATAGAATGAAAAACAAGGATACAGACATCATTCTTTGGACTAAAAACCTAAAAGCCAATCCAGAAAAAAGAAAAAATAAACAAGCATTGAAAAGTTTTGACCTGAGACAACATTAATTTAAAAGCTCTTATTAGTAAGAGGCTCCTGGTTTCAATTAAGAAAAAGCATTAAGAACAGCAAATAATTTTAGGAGCTAGGGTTGTAGCTCAGTGGCAGAGAGTTTGCATAGCATGTGTGAGGCACTGGGTTTGATCCTCAGCACCACATAAAAATAAATACATAAAATAAAGGTATCGTGGCTATTTACAACTAAAAATAAAAAGAGTAGCAAATAATTTTTGTCAAATTTCTACACAATTTGCTCTACTATTTGCTCTTGAATATGTTATAATATATTTCAGTCTTTTCTTAGATAATACGTTCCCCTGTGCTCCTTAAATGACATACTTAACTGAATCCCTGCTTATGAATCTCTAGGAACGTCTTGAGGATGGGTTGACAATCTAGGAATTTTGATCTAATTTGGGATGAGGAGAGAGGTCTAGATGGATCCTCCCCAATATCTATAGATTGTCATGATTAGCTCAGCCTTTGGGAAGGCTTGTGTTCTTTAGGGAATTATTTGTCCCATAAATAAGACCACCTAACATGAGAAATACTTGAAGATGTGATCCTTTTCTACTGTGTTTGCCTGTTTTCAGTTGATTTTAGAGGGAGGGGATGAGATTGTGATACATGTACCTGTCAGGTCATCAGTGGGCCAGGAACCCAGCTGGCATGCTTTGCAGGTGTACTCATCAAAGACGTACTCATTCTCCTTACAAGGCGTGCAGGTCCAACAACAGCTGACTTCTCCCTTCCGGATCACCTGAGGAAAACATTTAAATTTTGGTTAATATTTTGTATAGATAAAAATCCAACAATCATTTCTTCAAATGTACTGCTTTTCAAAGCAAAAAGGGTCTTCACATACATTCTTTCAAACATCATCAATTTGAATGAGAATCAATATTCTCATTTTGTAATTAAATAAATTAAGGATGAGTTTGAACAATGAGTCTAACATCCCAAGTTGGTTGTTAACTGAGGTGAGAATTAAATAATATGTAAGTCTTTGGATAATTATCTTTGGATACTTGTATTTAACTAAATTCCTGTGTTTGTGCTCATTAGGGAAACACACAGAAACATGTAAACAACTGAATATTTCTCTTTTCCTATAAATTAAGACCTTTTGCTCTCTGAATTTATCTTGGCTTTCCTCCAATAGCTGAGTAATTGTGAGAAAAAAAAAACAAAACAAAACCATTGCATGTCTCCTAATACTAAAAATCTATCTATATTGATAATTAGTAATTTATATTTGACAGAAACAGAGGCAGAAGACAAAGGATTTATGGATGTGATCTCTTGGTCTTTCTCTACTAAAAATCTGATTTAAATTTCAGCCCACTCTTTCCTCTTTAATAAATTTACTTTTGTCAGGATGGTTGTAAAAAAAAAGATCATTTAGATTATTATATGCTGCCTAATCTATTTGATTTTTAAGGTAATATAAAATAATTGAAATAATTTAACAGTTGAAAGAGTCCCAGACGTTATTCTTTAGAAATGGATGTGTCTTTTATTTTTTCCTGCCATCACATGCATGAATACCTTCTGTGGAATAGAGGCAGAATTCATTCAACATTCTTATAAATAATGGAAACACTTTTGATTTTGCTTTATATTCCTTGTCTTAGATGATAACTTTATTAATGAGCTTTAATAATACTATTTAAAACATCTATAGCCAAATATAACTGTTAAGTGGCACTTCTATTTTACATTTTGCATTGTCCCTGGTGCTGATTCTTGATACTGCAGCAATACATTGTAAGTAGGGAATGATGAAAAATGGTCCTGAAGCATCCTTTCCCTAAAATCATCTAGATAAGGCAAAATTGCTAATTAGATCTGCTTAATCCAGACACAAAACTCTTTACCATAATATTGACTATTTACAGACTATTTAGTGCATGCCACGTGCTCTGATACCATTAAAACATTAGAACAGCTTGGAATGAGGTAACTGGTTTTATTTTATTTATTTTTAGAAGAGAATACTGAAGTATAGTCAGCTTATATCTTATGTTAGGGTGAATGAGATATCAAATAACATATGTTAGACATGAAGACTCATACTTACAAATATTGGGACTTATTAGAAGAAAGCTTCATGATATTATGAAAAATTTAAGAGAAAGAGGATTGGTTCTGGAATAAAGATGTCCAGGTTCTAGTCTTGCTTAGTGTCGCTGAGCAGTTATGTGCCTTCATTATTCCTTCAGCTAATGCCAAGATGCCTCAAACAGAGCCTATGCATTGATTATAGTAATTCTTACTCTGTAGGAATGCCTGAGGGTTAACACCACAAAAATGTGTGGAACTCCCTAAAATATTACTTATTCTTCACTAACAATAAGCATACAAATACTCCTATAGAGGAAGGAAAATGTTATTTATAAAGAAATTTCAACTATACTTGGTAAAGAGGAAGGAAGAATGTTATTTATAAAGTAATTTCAACTATACTTGGTAAAACTACTATTGGAAAATTAGTAGATTACATAATATAGATAGGCATATTTAAAATTATGAAAGATTCTCTTTATAGACCTTAGTAAGGATTGGTGAATAAAAGCTGCTTTTTCCTCCCAAGAAATACACTGAATTCCTATGGTTTATTTTTTTTTGTTGGTTGTAAATTTCAGTATCTTGCCAAAATAAGTTTATGTACCTTTCCTAGATTAATCCCAATATTGCAATGTCTTTAAATCAATCATGGCAACTGAGTATGTCTTCTGATCATTCAAAACCATTTTTTTGGTTCTGTTTTACATTTGGTTTGAATAAAAGACATAGTGAAAATTCTCTTTCCTAGCACTGAAAGTAGTGACACTTTATTTATAACTAACAATTTGTAACTCATTCAAATTTTTTTCTAGACTAAACGCTTTCATGGAAACTAAGTTACAAATCTCTGAACAACCCCATGAGGTGCTACCATTAATAAATTTGCTCAGTAATAACTTTAAACTATATTAAAAGAATGTTGTCAACTGTATACTTAATGGAATGAAAATGAGATATGACTAGAAAGTCAGAGAAAAAAATTATCTTCTAAAACTTTATTAGAAGATAATCAGCATTAAAAATATGATAATAGGGAATCAAATTCTTCCAATGTGTAAAGTTCTTTATGGTTTTCTTTTTTACATTCCTAGGGATTGAACCTAGGACCTTGCACATACTAAGTAAGTGATTACTACTAAGCCACCTTTCAGTTCCCATTGTATAGATTATTACCAGTACAATAGGGTAGAAAAAATATGTGAAGAAGTCTCTCAACAAAGACATTCAGCATTTTGAAGTTACAGGCTTAAAATGTATTGCTGCGAAGAGTCAAAAAATCAACATTCTCTATGGTTATTTACAATGTATAAGTGTTTTTCAGGAAGAAGTGGAGAGCATGAACAATTGATATCTTGGTTGGGTCTATACTGGATTTCACATGAAGAGCTTAGTTGTAAGATGGGCCAAAGTTCAGAACTCTTTTATCACTGTATATAAACATTTAGTAAGTGTTTTTTGAAAAGGATCAAAAGGAAGAAAGGGGCTGGGGCCTGTAGGGAAAAATGGTGGAAGGAAAGAAGGAACACAGGAAGACAGCTTGGCTGTAGTTTTATAAAAGTTTATATTCAAAGGCAGGTAGCAGATCAGATTTAGCCTCTAGGCTTTGGTTCACAATTCTTCCTATGTGACATAGTAAGATATCCAGAAATTTTTATATGTTTTGTAAGCCAATGAGTTAGTTAGCCACTACTAAGAAATTTGTTTTCTATTTTCTTTGACTTTGGCTTTCTTCTTTCAAGTCTTATGCTTTTCAAATCTTCAGAACTACCTATTGAGGAACTTTTAATTATAAATCCAATAGTAAAACATTTCATTTTTTTAAAAATTTGCTACTAAGGATGAACCAAGAGGTTCTTTACCACTGAGCCACTTCCCCAGTACTTTCTAAGTTTTATCTTATATTTTTAATTTTTTATTTGTTATTGTTAGTTATATATGACACTAGAATGCATTTTGACATATTATACTTATATGGTATGTAACATCTCATTCTTGTGGTTGAGTATGATGTAGAATTACACTGGTCGTGTAATCATATATACACAGAGGAAAGGGATGTCTGATTCATTCTACTATCTTTCCTCTTCCCATTTTCCCTCCCTTCCCTTCATTCTCCTTTGTCTAATCCAAAGTACAAATGTTCTTCCCAACCTCCCAACTCCCTGCCCCCATAGTGAGTTAGCATCTGCATATCAAAGAGAATAGGCCTTTGGTTTTTTAGGAATGGCTTATTTCACTTAGCATGATAGTCTCCAGCTCTGAACATGGCAATCAGGAAACAGAGAGAGAAAGAGGGAGCACCACTCACCAGAGTCAAAATATAAATCTCAAAGGTAGGTTTCCGGTGATCTACTTCTTCCAGCTACACCCTACCTGTCTATAGTTACCATATCAGTAGATTAATCCACCTATTAAGTTTCAGCTCTCATAGTGTAATCATTTCACCTTGGAACATTCTTGCATTGTCTTACACATGAGCGTTTGGGGGAACAACTCATATTTAACCAAAACACAACAATAACTAACTTATTTCTGCTTTTTAATTATATTTCCATATTCTTCTTCATTGGCTTTTTATTTCCTATCAGCTAGGACACACCAGTGTAAAAGCACCTTTCCTGTACCCTGAAATTACCAAACTGCTACCTATTTTTCACCATATAATTTTGGATGCTCAGTTACCATTATATGTTGCTCCATCTGGAAGACTTCTATCTCCAGAGGAACCAGATGAAAGGCTGATCTCCAATTCTCAGGTCTTGACCTCACTCCTCTTCTTCCTTGGCTCATCTTCCACTGAAAACTGTCTTATCTAACAGCAAATTCTGATGGAGCTCTCTGAATCTGAACTTATTCAGCCTCTATTTCTTCTTCTTCCTTTAAACTTCAAAAGAAGACATTCTTCAAGACTCTTCTAGATCTGTATTATGTTTTATAGAAACTTCTAGGTTGAACAATTTTATCTACTTAACAACTTCAACTTGAACTCCATTTAATAAATGTCTACATCTGAATCATTAGTCTTATTTCTCACTGTTCTGGACCAATCATCACAGGGTGGCTATCTCTAAACCAACAAACTCCCCCCGAATTTACCACCTTTTCTCTAAAAGCATTCTCATTTGTTATTCCTGTCAATGGCACTTTTTAGACTTGTAATTACAGTTGATTGTCTTGTACTCCTTTTTCTTTTCCAACCTTGTATCTAATCAGGATTGATTGATTCTCTTTGTAAGGTTTCTCCCAATGTACATCCTGTCCACTTTTTCATTCTCACTGTTTCTTCCCCAATTCAAGCCCTCGTCACCATGATCACAGTGTCCATTTACTTATTTCTTCCATCTTTTTTCATGATTCATAAGTCTGCTCATCAATCTTCACCTATGATAGCTCAATTTATGTCAACACCTCAAAGTTTTTCTTTGACTCCTGTTTAATAAGAAGTAGCTTCAATTTATTTAGTATAACATTGAAAACTTTCCATAAATCTGGACACAACCTATCATAACTTTTTCTTTTATAATAACCATTTAGAGCAACCATTTACATAACCTAGATTATTCACTGCTATTGAGAATCTATGTATCCCCTTGATCACTTCTGCATCTTTCCAGTGACTGTTCCCTCTACATTAATGATCTCTCCCTTGAGTCACACTCATTTTAATGGACCAATGTTTTACATTTTATTCAGAAAAAAGTTCTCTTTCACCCTCCCCACCAAGAACTTACGTAGTCTATTTTTTTCTTTCTTGAGGAAGTCATCACATTTTCATGATACTGCTATCTCATGGTCTATATAGTTTTCTCATCTATATGAAATCCAACAATAAAGGATGTCTCACTCATTTTCCCCCACAGATATTAACTACTACTATTACATTAAGAGGCATTTGATAAATACTTGTTAAATTAATGAGAATTAGCATGTTTTCCAATTCTAAGTCATTCACTTACAGGAATCAGTCTTTAAAGTCTTGGATAAGCAGAAAGTGTGGGGTAGAACATAATGCCTCAATTAGTTTTATCCTCTCAGACCAACTACTAAGACTATTGTTGGTTGCATTAGACATAAGGATTAACAAGAGTAAAGACGAAAAAATCCTCATAGTTTCTAATGCTAAAAGCTTACAGGGTAAAAATGAAAGTAAATCTCAATTTAGAAAAATAGCCAATGGTAGCCAACATTGTTGAATTTACAACAAAAATGAATGAAGTGTGTCATCCTTTATCTGGCCTTTCTTTACCTTTATCTGGCCTTTCTCACATGGCTCACTGCACACAGATCTGATGATGTTATTTTTCTTGGTCCATACTTCATCATCATCCATTTTTAGTTCTCCATTGTCCCAACTTCCAACATTGATATAATCAAAGTAATCTTTTCCCATTTCCTTGAAATTCATTATTTCATACCTGAGAAATAAGAAAATAATTATTCAGCTACAAATATAAATAATCCTCTATAAAAAGGAAAATGACTTCATTCCCTTAAATATAACTCCTGTCAGGTAAGTAGTGCTGGAATTTCACAAGACAGAATCCTTAGATAACCAAAACCTATCTGCCATTTCATTTTCTCTTCAGAGATCATTGTTCTGTTTTAAATTATTCATGTATTTATTTATTTACATTTAAATCTATACCCGAAATAGAAAATAATCCCATGTGAGAAACTGACTTAACCTCAAAAGGATGGAGCAGTTTTTAAATAACTTCAAGAAATTTAAGCAAGGACTACTGTTGGGCTTCTGAAAAAAAAAAAAAAAAAAAAAAAGAGTTTTGTCTCCATTCAAGTTTGATCAAATTTTCCTTTACTAGCCCCATGAGAATTTGGTAAATCTTTGATCTTGTTTTCAGTGTTAGGGTATGTGGGAGTAACTTGGATAAGGCCTGATTTTGCCTTTATTATTTTACCCTTTGTCAACTGTTAAGTTCATTGTATAAAGGCAATTTCCAGAATGTTTTTTTTTTTTTAAACCTGAACATAGTTACTAAAGAATCTTATGCAATGTAAAAATACTGGAAGAGAGGAGTACTTGGTGAGTTCTCAGGCTTTATTTGTTGTTACTCTTATTTTCAGTAAGGGATAAACATGTAACTAGGGCAAACGAACATGCTTATTTAAAAGACTTTTCTTATATGTGAGAGAAATATAACTTTTCTTATATTTCCAGAGAAACACTTTTGAAATAATTTTCTCATCTGAGGACATCAGATTAGCAAAAAATACACTTCATTGGTTCCTACAGGAATGTAGAACCTACAGGTTCACGATGTCTTCACATGCGTTTTTTGTTGTTGTTTTTAAGATTTTTTTAAATTTGTAGATGGGCATGATATCTGTATTTTATTTGTTTATTTTTATGTGGTGCTGAGGATTGAACCCAGTGTCAGGTAACCACTCTACCACCAAGCTACAACCCCAGGGCCCTTCACATGCTTTTTAACACTACACACACTGTACAGGCAGGTAGGCTTCTAACTCATAAAAAGCTTCTTCAGTATGTTCAGCAATCTGGAAATGGATATGGATAGAACACATTCTAGCTTTTGGGTTCCAGTGACCATATACCATAGTCGCACCAACATTCTGCACAGAAATAAAAAGAACAGAACTAACCTGTCCTTGAATTTCCTTTGTAAGATGATGCCATGCTGTTTTTATTGCCAATCACAAATTTTTACTGTAGTAGGTTTTTTTTTTTTTTTCAGAATAACAATCCATTCTTATATTTTGTTGGTTGTTAAGTAGCTTCAGGATTATCCTGTAGTGTTTTATTTGAAGTAGGTAACAAGTTGGGATAACTACCTAAATTCCACTTCTAAATAAAAATTCATAACTCACTTTCCTTTCCACACTGTCACAGTTATCCTATGGCCACAGAGCATTCCATAAATCAAGATTTTAGAAACAAAGCACTAAAGTAAAAAGACTTCATGTGTTATGTCATGGGCTCCTTCAAATACACAGGCTGCTAAGTCTTAAAAGGTGAATTTCTGTGAGCAAATAACCTTTGAACATTGTAGTCTGGGAGAAAGAAATAAATGTCAATGTCAGGAAGCTTCTTTTGTTGCTGATTTGAGAAGATATGAGGGTATCTTTGCTCACTCAAAAACAAGACATCAACCCCATTTCTACTGATTCTTAAGTCTGACAAAGTCTGACCAAGATGTTTATTTCACAGCTAATAGAACTGAAGCCACCTGAGGTCAATCTGTATGACCAACTTGCAGAGAAAGTGTCAGAGCCAGGACCTAAACTAAACCTTAATACTTTAAGTCAGCTCTTCATTTTTTCTCCATTAGATTACTCCCAATCTATTGCTATAGCTAAGAGATCAATTTTCTGTTGTTTAAATAATGTAAAAATGTAACCACTTTACATTATAAGGTTTTAACTTTACACCCATGGCTCCTACTTGTATGTATGAGAAATTTTAAAAAGTAAATGGATTCAGTTTTTGAAAAATAATTAGGAAACCCTATAGAATAAAAAATGTCATATTTTATAGGAAAATTATTTAAAGAAAAGTTAAATCATTACTTTAGCTTAACCTATCACACTTGTATAACCATACTGGAGACAATAAATCTTCCTTTCAGAATTAATATTTTTTTCCTGGTAATTGTTTCTTACCTACCAGACAGAGAGAAAGATATTATTAATAATAACTAAAGCTGTGAATATATCCCATTCCTTTAAAAACCTTTAGGAGCAGTACTCTGAAAAAGAACTTCATAAGGATACTTCTCCATAACAAAGATTCTCTCCTTTTTTTGAGTTGATATGAGATATTTTTATTTTTTAATTTTCAGAGAAAGGATACAAAATTTATTATCCATCAAAAGTGAAAAGAATGAGTGATTCAAAAAAGAACAAATAAAAAAGGCTCAAAAAGACTAAGGTAAATTCTCATTTGATAATTGTAACTGAGAGCTGCATATTATCCTTCCACTATTACTAGTTAGTTGGCTGTGCAAACTTGGATGTGTCTCTTTCTTTCTCTGAGACTCAGATTTCTCTCCAGGAAAAGTAGGACATTGACACAGATCATCTGTTTCTCTATGGTCCTTTTAGGAGCACAGCGGTGTATTCAGAATCCATGTGTGGGGTCGTGGCTCAGTGGTAGAACACTCATCTGACATGTATAAGACACTGGGTTCAATCCTCAGCACCCCATTAAAAATAAATAAATAAAATAAAGATATTGTGTCCATCTAGAACTAAAAAAAAATAAAAAATCTAAAAATAAAAAAACATCCATATGCATTCAGGGTCAGGATCTGAAATTTCTACTATTCAGGCTTCATATTTTCTATGTGCCCCATTGGTTTTTGCCCTTTCATTCCTCCTTTTCTGCATATTTTCAAGTTAATCTTTTTTCTTTAATCCCTTTACTGGTCTTCCTTTCTTCTGGTATGAAAATTTTCGAGGCTGCTTAAGGGATTACAAATATGAATTCTTACTCTACTTAATGTCAAGTTACCTAATATAAAATGTAAGAATCTTTCCTTGTATAATTTCATTTCCCTTTCCCTTATACCATTCTTTTCAAATATTTTACAACTATACACTTATCCACTCTACAATATAGTATCTTAATTTTTGCTTTAAGATACTATATCTTGCAGTTGTATTGAGTTTGACATTTTCTCTCCATGTTCCTTCTGCCTAATTAAGGTCAGTCTTGGGCAGCAGCTAGACCACTTAAAACTTAGATCCTGAAGGAGTCTCTAAACTAGGGCTTAGCAAACTTTCACTGTTAAAGGACAGATAATAAGTATTTTTGACTTGTAGATGGTCTCTAACTACTCAGCTCTGCTATTATAGTGCAGAAGCAGCCACAGTGCCTAACTAAATGACTGTCACTGTGCTCCAAAAATCCTTCTTTACAGCAAACTCAATTTGGCTTGCAGACCCTCGTTTGCTGACATGTGATCTACATCACTGGTGGTAAATACCATAGGTCCATATTTCACACCTGTAAGTATGAAACACTTGGAGCTCTGAAAACTGTATGTTTTTTCACAACTCCACTGGCAGCAAAACATGAATCTATCTGCAGTTACCAGTGAAAAAACCTGACCTGAACCTGAGGCTATTTATAGTCTCTATATAACACCTAGTATGAATATTCATGTTTTATGTCAGAAATATCCATTTATTGATTAAGGAGTGCTGTTCCACAGCATGTTGGGGCATTATATTACTGTGTAAACATTTTTTAAATTCAAAAGTTCTGGATTGTGTAACACACATGGCACCATGGTTTTAATTACAAAATTGTGGGGTGATAGTACCCTACTCAGAGGTGAGGTTTAAAAACAATGATCCAAATATGCTTGAGAACAATCTGCAAATGCATGTAAAAGTACCAGTTTCTATCTCTCCTGGATCCCTTTGTTCAGGATCTTCCTCTTATACATCTGGCAATTTAGGAGAATCCCTCATCACGCCTTGCTCCTCTAGTTCCTTGTCCAGTTGAGAATCTCTTTGATCCAACCCAACAGTTACTTTTACCACACAAAAATAACAATGCATTTTCTGCAAATAAGTTTCTAAAAATGTTTTTATAATTTGATTGTGTTTGATTATAAGACAAGCAGCTAAAGTCTAAAAGACAGAGTTACAATCAACTCTTATCACCTAAGAGACTGTCTTTGGATGAGTACTTTAACCTTTGTAGGCCTCAGTTTTTTTCTGAAAAAAAAAAGAATAATAATATTACTTACCTCATATGATTAAAAAGTAGAGCACTTAGCTTGGTGTTTGGATAATAGCATACCATAAATATTAGCTATAATTTTCTTTTGAAACAGATTCTCACTGTTGTGAAGGATGGTTGTAAACAGTTGTAATTTTCTTTAAAAATATAAGTAAATTAGTTGGAAAAACAAAAGGTTGCAAACAACCCTTTCTTTGATCTGGTCCATTCCCTCAGAGGCCAACTCTGATAATTTATTAATGCATTAATGTAATATTAAAATTTTGGGGGGGTGCCAGGGATTGAACTCAGGGGCACTTGACCACTGAGCCACATCCCCAGCCCTATTTTTATTTAGACATAGGGTCTCACTGAATTGCTTAGGCTGGCTTTGAACTCAGGATCCTCCTGCCTTAGCCTCCAGAGCCACTGGGATAACATGTGTGCAGCACCATGCTCAGCTTGTAATATTCAAACTTAGTAGTGCATGGATAGACTCAAACCAGCATGCACTCCCAGATATTGGTTGCAAAATGTTATGTATATTGTTCATGAAAGAGCATCTAGAATTTTACCAGAGTCCTGAATGGATTAATATTCCAAAAAAGGTTAAGAACCAGTGTCCTAAAAGTACCCTATTATTGTGTATGTGGAGTATGAGTGAGAAAGTAGTGTTCTGCCTAATCTATTAAAGTTTCCCACTGAAACAGAGCTGAACCATCTGAAACATTTCCTCAATGTCTCATTTGTGAAACTGTTTTGGGGACATGATGTCAAAACTCTTGAACTGAGATAGCTATATTCATTAGTCTGTTAGCAGGTCCCAAGCTAATGTCACTGCTCCAGAGATGCACAAAGGAACAATAAATCCATGCATAGATATCAGAGAACCTAAAGACTGAGCTCATGGGTCAACCTGTCCTAAAAGGAATTATAACACATGTTAAGTAACTTTTGGCCAGTGGATATAGCAAACAGAGAAAAAAAGTAGAAAACAGTATTGTGTAAAGTCAGTTTATCTTGGCAAACAGTCTTGGAGCAATAATCTTCAAACTTCTGGAACACAGAAACTATGTTTTTTAGTCTGGCTATATGACCTGGCACTGTCACTTAGCAGTTCAGCATGTGAGATGGCAACAGCTACATCCAGGACAATCTCCAGCTTACCTTACAATATGGAAATGTGCTAAACTAAGATTGTTGGCAGAAACTATGGGCACATGGGGTGTGAGCTGTGGAGGATCTCATGAGATCTTCTCTTGGCAGGGTCAACTGCAAATAGAGTGCACTGACACTTCTTCAAGAACAGCTGCTAAGCACAAGGTGCTATTGGAAGAGCATTTGGAATTTTGCAATAGGAGACCAAAGGGTCCTGATTGTTCTGATGCAAAGCATAGGCTATTACAACTCAGAATATAATTTCAATGACACCATCCCTCATGGATTAAATCCCTCCTGTATTAAAAACATACTGTGTAGAGTTAAGAATTGGGGTATAAAATACATGTGAATTCTGGTAAATTTTGGATACCTAGTGATTGTTGACCTATAATTATAAGTAAGTTTCATATTTCTCAGGCACTTCCCTAGAAATAATAAAGGTGAAATATCAGAGAAAAGGGCAATTCGATCCTCAAAAAGGGAGAAAGTGCTCCCACTGGAGAATAACAAAGTAAGATATGACTTATAAATCACTGTAGATACAGAAAATGACATAAAGTACCTCAACCCTATTTCTGGATTGCCAGAAATTGAATCATTCCTATTTCAGAATAGTTCCATGACCCAAGAGGATAACAGAGTATAGGGAATAACATGACATAACATGCACTGAGAAACCATTGAGATGGCTTTGGTTACCTATGATAAAGTGAGGCTCCTGCTCTAACTTTAGGTCTCTGAAATGTGATGATTTCAAAAGCACATTGTGGACATTGGCAACATTTTTTTTCTTTGGCCACAGGGTATAAAGTTTTGTCTCTGTTTTGCTCACTTTGGGATACTGGGGCTTGACAAACATGGCCAGGCAGCCTAAATAGCCACAAGGGAGGGAGACAAGCATCTCAGCATCTACAATTGGCTCTTGTTTAAGCTCTGTTGTTTAGAGGAGAAATCTAACAATACCTTCCTGGAGAGTCTCCATTTTCATCAAATAGGATCATATCTCCAGAAACCCCAGTAAAATTGGTTTTCATCAGGGAGTCCAAAAGTTTTCGCCCGTCAATTGGCTTCATTGCATCACAGAGTCCTGCGTAGCCTGGGCAGAGGGACATCTGCATGTTGTGTAGTCCATAGGCCATGGAATAGATGGCATTGATCACAAATCCCATTTTGGAATCTTGAACATGATGTGTTCTCAGGGTCAGAGAACCTGTTGAGAAACAAATCAAGAGTTAATTTTGGAATTTAATTCTATCATGCTTGAAAGTATGGATCCCAAATAATTGGAATGCCCTGGAGCAACTTGTCAGAATTTGAACTGGAGGCATTGCTAGAAACAGATGCCAACATACTGTCCCAAACTTGTCTTCTCTATTTGGGCTTTTGTTCCAAAACCTTGAAGACAGATCTCAGCTCCCAACAACAGAAAGATTCACTTCCTCCAGTAACTGAACTCTGAGGATAGGGGAAGGATAGCATTGCATTGCTGTATACAAAATTTATCTTAAGGACAGATTAATTTCCCTTGTGTCAGCTGTGATAATGTATCTCTTAGTTTAGAAATCCACAACAAATCTCCAGCCTCCAAACTATTTAGTCTTCTTAATTGAGAAAATAAGATCCTCTACCATCTGGCCTCAACTTACCTAGTTGATGATTTATCACCTACCACCTCCAGTCTCAAAGCATATTCTCTCATAAATGATCCTATTTTAAAATTATAAAACATAGCAATTAAATGCCATTAAGTCACTAATCAATTCAATATGTGTAAAATCAGAGTATATATAAAGCATGTGATTGGTGATCTAGGGGAAAAATAAAAATGATGAATTAGACATGGATTCTACACTAAAGAAACCTGTCCAATAACAGTCCTTTCTAATGATTTGTTTTATTTCTTTACTTGAAAGACTAATGCATGGTGAATAAGGAGAAGAGAACTAAAATGAGAGGTAAGAGAGAGAAACAGGACTAGTGGAGTGTAGGTCTTTGGAATGTTTTCCAAGTTTCATTAAAAATTATTTTGCTGTATGGAAAATGGAAATAAATTGGTAAAAGAGGAGGGGAAAACATTTGGGATACTGTGGTTGAATGCTGAGAGATGATGGTGGTTTAGTCCAGGATAGGATTCTGAGTCTATTTTGAAAAAGGATACAACAGGATGTGCTAATGGATTGGATATGATCTATTAGGGAAACAGAAGAATCAAAGGATGAATCCAGGTTTTTAGTTTGAGCAATGATGGATTAAAGTGCCATTAACTGAGAACTGAGAGACAAATTGGTGGGGATGGGGAATCCGAGGTGCTGTTTAGATTGTAAAGAAGGGAGATAAGTTGTTTGGCCAGTGTTATAGACCCAGGCAACACATATTGGTGGGTTTTTGTTTTGTTCATGGTGACAGCAGTAGAGAAGTTGGGGGGTGTTCATATTTAAGAAACATTGGAAAATAGAACAAACATGATTGATTGATTGGATCTATCTCAGATATCAGAATCCTGTTGAATTCTTTATCATGCCTTTAAAGTTTTATTGTTCTCTATAGTTCTACATTTTGTCATCTTCTAATTCTACACTCTTTCCATGTTTTCAATGCTAGGTAAGTGAGGATTGCCTATAGGGAATGCTTTTAGTGCTACACAAACATTCACTCAATTCTTATAACAACCCAATGGAATACGTAGTATTTTTATGAGAGAATTGGTGTAGAATGGTGAACTAACCCAATGCCACATGGTTATTCTGAGAAGAAGCAGGATTTAGAACAATACAGTTTAGCTCTAGAGTGTATGCCTCTTACTTAGATACCCAACAGCTTCTTTTAAATCTAAATCCAACTGAACTCCCAGACAGTCTCTAAGGCACAAGCTTAACATCTGATTAAAAAAAAAAGTTGGATTCATTCTATATCTCAACTAATTTTGCACACACTTCTATATTCCCTGTATCCATTTCTTTTCTTCCAGACCCATCCATTCCTAACACCTTTATTTGCGTTTTCTGAACTTCCTAATTATATGTGTACTTGTGTATTAATATTTCTAGATTCAATATGAAGGTCAAACATGAAAATTTTATAAAATAAAAATGTTCTCTTTGTCCTGCCTTTAGCCACTCACTATTTCTCACTAAGGGTAAACATTCTTAAGAGGGATATTCAATATCCTAACTTTATTATTCCTTCAAGACATTATTATTTTCATTGATAAATATTTATACAAGCCTTAAGATGTCATTTCACAATGGTAGTATGCACACATGCTCTTCTACATCTGGGTTTCTATGCATTACACTCTCAATACCTAAAACACACATTCCCTCAGATTTTCTACTTAAATTTTCAATTCATGTGAGTTCACTTGCACTCAGAAATTTTCCAAAACCCTCCTCACTCCAGAATTAAGTCCCTGCTTTTTTTCTTACAGTATGAGAGCTGGTTTTCATCATGATGATGAACAACCATATTGGCACATATTCTCCCTGGTTGTCCATATTACTTCAGTATATTCATGGGAATTTCATAGGATCTTTTGTGTTTGATATGTGGTATCCTGTTTGCATTTATATACTTCACTGTAATCCAGTTGCTGTTAACAATGATTTATTTTAATGGGAAAAGAAAAAAACTGCACCCCAGGCCCATTCCTGAGTGTCCATACAATGAATTGCTAACCATTTTGGAAACAGCACCAAGTATATAATGGGCATGATATGTGTGGAACTGTGGGTCTGTGATATAAATGCACATTTAATCATTGTGTGGGGTGACTCTTGATTGCTTAAATATGTAGCATTATGGTGGATTAATTTGTGCAATTCTACTAACTTTGAGATTGTAACAGTTGTGAAGGAAACAATGGTTTTCAAATGAAGGGGCTTACAGAATGGCACAATGTTACTAATATAGTTTGGCCTTTGTTATACAAATTGTTAACACCAGCTATTAAAATATGTTTTAATAGAAAAAAAGAAAAAATAAATTGCCTGCATGCAGATTTGCCTTTAGCCTGGATTTAAGATTTAAAGTCCTGCTCTCTCCTCTTCATAGCTCTGGTGGTGAGCTCTCACTGGCTTCCAGTACACTGTGAACTATCTGAGGTTGTCACAGATGTAGTCCTTGTACTAGCACAGCATATGACATATGACTGGCATCACTAAAATATGCTGTGTGCATGAATAAAGCCATATGGGTGAGAGACAGCCTCCAAGACTGTCACCAAATTCCAGGTCTGGACCTCAGATTGTGAAATCAGTTAATCAGAGAAATTATTTCTTTGTAGAATAGTACTTGTTTGAACAAAACTAAATATCAACACCAATTTGCAATAGGATCTGTCAGGCAGACCAGTTGATACCTTTTAGCTATCTCATGGATTTTCACCATCTAATAAAAATACATGGAAAGAGCAATAAAAATAAATTATTTGAAAAAAAATACATGGTGAAAATTCTGGTCCCATCAAAATGAAGTAAGCACACTCTATTGTTTCTTACACTGAATACAACTAAACACTCTGGGCAGAATGATTAGAATTAGATGAGCTAAAAAATATATGGAAAGAAGTAGATTGACAAAACTCAAAATGTCAGTGAAGTAGGTATGAATTTCTTAGTTTTTCCTCTAATATCTTTAAATGTGAAGTTGAAAGCAGCTTAAGACATGGATCTTGTGCACCAGGTGCAAGCAGAAAGAACTACAAGACAAGTCCTCTATTTCTAGACTAAGAAGCAGAAAGGGGGTACCTACAGGTTGGAAGGAATTAAAGAATTTGTATTTCTGTGTGTTTGTTTTTTGCTATCTTACCCCCTAGATGTCCTTGCTAAGGAGATGGTGGTAGGTAGTAATGGTGGAGCCCATAGTCCTAGGAAGGTACTTATAACCCTAAGGATGGGACCCCTTCTTTTTTACCAAAGGAACCATGCCCCAAGCATGTGAGGAAATCCTTTGCTACATTTCCCCTTCTTTGGCTTCATCTTATTTGTGTCCCATGGTAATTCAGTAGCAGGAACAGAAAGAATGAGGAAGAGGTAAAAACTAAAGTCCTAGCCAAAGGATCAGGAAATGGGTCCAAGAGGCTAGAAGATGGAAAGTTCAAGAAGATAATGGGCAGTGGAGAGATCCTATACCATTGAATAGACTACTGGGATACTTCTGAGTTGTACAGACATGGATTTGACCTTAGCATACCAAATTCTGAGAACTGAACTATATGACAGAATGCTGCATAGGTCCCAGACTAGCCACTTGACGAGGCACTGTGTGACAAACCCTGATAGCACTGAAAAGCTTTGGAAACTGAACTGAGAATAGAACAGCAGCCCAAAGAAGGCAGATACAAACTTACAGATAAAAGTTAACCCAGTTTTTTGCTTGTATTTTTCTTTTTCTTTTCAAAATTCAATATTCTCCATAAGATTGAAACAGCATGAAAAATAATATAACACTGTATTTTAAATTTACAGAACCGAGAGATGATATTGAGAGTAAGAAAGTGTGCACGATCAGGTGGGAATAATGTTAGATGCCAACCAACTTTCGCTGATCTTCTGTTTACATTTCTAAATTCCCTGCTCTTGTTTGGCTGACACACTATTTGTTTACTGCCTAAATAAAACTCAGAGAGTTATATTCATTTCCTTTGTTCTTGTTGCTTTGGCCTCAGAGAGAAAAATTGGCTCATTGGTTAATTTGTTCAGTGACTCATTCAAAGATTAAGTTATTGATTAAAAGACATTTATTGAGTCCCTACTATATGTCAGACTCTGCTGGATGCTGGTGGTATAAACCTAAGCAAGATGGAATCTCAGTCCTCAATACAAAATCAACTCAGCATGTAAGTTTAAGGTTTAGTGATAGAAGCTCATTAGGGTCCAAGGAACTTTATCTTGTCAGGTAAATTTTAAAGGCCTGAATGTGTACCATAAGATGATTCATTTTATTTAGGCTTCTAATCTACTAAGCTATAGGAAAGAGCAGATGTTAACTATTTCATGCTTATAAGAATGAATGTTTCCTTCAAGAACATTAACTTTGCTCAAAGATGATTTTTTAAAGTCTTCATGGACCAGACCCAACCTAACAATGACATTCTGTGCCAACCCAAATTTGCCAGCTGTTTCACCTGTTTAAAGCAGTTTGCAGAGCAGAGAGGAAAGCAATGAAGCTGCTCTTCCTTCTTTTTTTTTCCCCCTTTTGTTCAAATTGGGA